GGAATAAAGTTGTGAGGATTACAATAAATATTTCAGGAATTGGGATATGATTATTATTATTATTATTACTTGGATCACTTCTAGTAACAGGTGGTATTTCGTTCTGTCTGGTATTTTTGGTTGTTTTATTTGGGTTATTTGGTTGGAGGTATGTATGTGTTTGAGGAAGATAAGGTTCAAGGATCATTCTTCTAGGGAAAAAAGAAGGACCATTACCTTGGTTTAGTACTTGTAGTAGCAGGGTCATCGATGGCATTATTATGTAGGCAGCAATCGCTAATCATATCACATCAAAAGACCATTGCTAAATGTTATTCCGGCTTCTGCCCGTACACTACATGTACCTTGGTATATAAATGAAGATTCAGGTCCCGCAGCTCCTGCTTCATGCCCGCCACAAACACCTCGATCTCCGGTCGTTGCCAGCCCATCACGCGCGTGAACAGCGCATAGCAGTATGGTCCCAGCGCCTCGAACATGTTGACCTGGTGGTACCGACCCAGGTCTTTCATCTTGGGGTCCTTTGGCCAAGGACTTTGCGGGAGCTGCGATCGTCAGTATGATCCTCGAACTTGGCAAATGTGGCCGCAGCGGCGTAGTCTCCCCCGGAGCCGCCATTATATACCGGCTGCACGGGAAACCCACCTTGAAGATATCCTCCCGGACGTTGACGAAACCCGCGTTTTCCATCTTCTCCTTCCACGAGTGGACACTGGCCAGGTCCTTCCCATACTCCCGGGCCGAATCGTGCATATATACAATGCCCTCCAGCAGGGTCTTCGCCTTCAAGTGTGTGTCATCGTCCGAGTACGTGTTGACCTCCATCGACGCGATCTCCATCCATCCCTTGGGCTTCAAATTCTCCAACGCCTGGCGGAAGAGATGGTCGACGTCGCGGATGCACCCCTCCATTTCCCGAGCGTGAACGTAATCGAATGGTTTGCTGTAGGACCACGGTTGCTCGAAATCATCGACCTCGAATCGGCAGTTCGGCGGGATCCTGCACGGTCAGTCGAGCCCACCAACTAGCGGGAACACCTACCATGACGGCTGAATGGGACTGAGGTCGTTGCCTGGATCGGTCAGTGATCATCACAACATCATGGCGGTCCTCTTACCGATCACTTCCGACTCGGGATGCTCGCTGCAACGCATTAGCACTCGCCATCGAGGTATCATATCACACTGCTCACTCGGCAAAATCGATGGCCCAGATTCCCGTTCCAGTTCCAATGTCCAACACACGCGCGGGATTCTTGATTGGTGCTCTGCACAGCTCTCCTTTGAAGAGCATGCGATAGATATGATGGCTCTGCTCCGGTCAATTCTGTCCCCCGTTGTATCCAATGCGACTAACCAGGTCGAGACGGTCTTGTTCTTGTTCATCGTTGGGCTGTGAGATCAGCAGGGGAATTGGTATGGGGTCGGATGGCATACCAGGATGTATTCACCCTCGTGGTAGGAATGGTATCTGCGACCGTTCTGCGGACTTAGCCGAGGCTCATCGGGGGGGCTGAATCCTGTACCTCATATCTAGAGGGGTCAGTGAGCGCACCGAAAGTAGAGAAGGATACGTACGCGTAGTTCATGGCACTGGAAGTGATGCTGGTGGTGTAGCTGGCATCGCCCAGTCTGGATCGTGGTCAGCGCCGTGGAACCGCGTCGGGTAAGTCGCGGGTAAGAACTTACGAGCCGGGATAGGTGGAGTCATTGTCACTGAAGCTCTGCAGGGGATTAGCAGCCAATAATGGGAGGAGGAGGGGTGGACGAACGTCGGCCTCGATGAAGCTGGAGTCCTGGGGAGGAGGGTCGGAACACATGATGGTGGAAGAAGCGACGGGCGGCAGGATGACGGGCGGGAGAAGCTGAGGTGCGGTGCGGCCGAGCAGTCATCCGATCCCCACTTGCACGTCGACCCCAGAATGGCTGCCACAATCAGGCAACTTTCCAGAATGAAAAGGGGCTAGATGGAAAAAGAAAGCGAGGAAGAGTTAAAGATAAAAATAAAAATAAAATAAAAAACCAGAGACGAGCTAGAAAGGTGGCGGCTATCCCACCAGCGCGATCGTCTGGAGATTAGCACCGGGGACCAAAAGACCGACCGGGGGAGATGGAGATGAAAGAAGATGAATGGATGGGAGGGCAGACAACAAAGACGTGCCTGCAGCCATGAGCCAACACCTTAAGAGTTAAGCTGGACCCATGCGGGATGACCGTTTTGCTCCCACCATTCGCCGACAGTAGTGCCCGAGTGTTCACGCCCTTGGTCATGGAGGATGGAGGGTGGAGGAGTCGTACAGGCTAGGTGGCGGTCGGGGGGAATTGCGGCCATACGGTTGGTCTGTTCGCTACGGCCTGCTGCTAGCCATGGCCTATCGGGGCCCGCCGGAGTAGCCTTGCTTTCCCATCACCACCTGCCAGCGTTCTTTTGTTTCCCTTCCCATTTACCGGCATACTAATACTGATAGATCACCGTTTCATGGCCCGTGCATCTCTATCCCACGAGTGCTGAAGAACTAAGACAACTATAAAAACAACACATGGCATCACCATCACCATCACAGCTATCCAGCCCTAATGGGTAACGCGTGCCCCAGTGGATCTGCCCCC